AGCAAGACCTCATCTCTAAAAATAGCCAGGCATTGTGCCAGGTACCTGTAATCCCAGCCATTTAGGAGGCAGAGGCAAGAGAATTGCTTAAGCCCAAGAGTTTGAGGTTGCTGCGAGCTGTGATGCCACAGGGCTCTATTGAGGGTGACAAAGTGAGTCCCTGTTTCAGAAAAAAAAGAAAGAAAGAAAATGAGAAAGGATCAAAACCTATTACAAAAAGTAATGAAACACAAAAGAAGAAAGCAAAAGAATAAAAGAGGGACAAAAGAACCATGAGACAGATCAAAAAAAACTTTAACAGAGTGGCAATACTAATTATCCATATCAATAATTACTTTAAATGTAAATGAAATAAACTCCTCCAATCAAAAGACATAAAGGAGCTTATTACATAAAAACAAAACCTAACTATATGCTGTCTGCGAGAGATTCACTTTAGACTTAAATAGCAGATAGGCTGAAAGTTATAAGAAGACACTTCATGCCAAAAGAGAACAGAGGTAGCAATAGTTATAGCAGGTAAAATAGTCTTTAAGTTAAAAAGTGTCACAAGACATAAAGAAGGACAACATAAAATTATAAAAATGTCAGTTTCCCAGGAAGATATAGCAATTATAAATATATATTCACCCAGGCTGGGCTTGATGGCTAATGCTTGCAATCTGAGCATTCTGGAAGGTTGAGACAGGTGGATTTGCTTTGAGACCACCCTGAGCAAGAGTGAGACCTGTCTCTATGAAAAATAGAAAAACTAGCCAGGCATCATGGTGGGCACCTGTAGTCTCCACTACTTGGGAGCTAAGGCAAGGGGATGGTTTGATCTCCGGATTTTGTGGTTGCTGTGAGCTATGACACCACCATACTCTAGCCAGGGGCAACAGAATGAGACTCTGGCTCAAAAATAATAATGATAATAAGTTAATAAATAAATAAGCACCCAATGTCACAACACCTAAATATTTCAAACAAACATTGACAGAAATGAAGAGAGAAACAGATAACACAACAGCACTACATAATGATGTTTCAGTCAATGACAGACTCCATGTACCAAGGTGGTCCCACAAGATTATAATGGAGGTAAAAAATTGCTATCACCTAGTGATGTTGTAATGTTGTAAAACAACACATTATTCACATGTTTGTGGTGATATTGCTGTAAACAAAGCTACTGCTCTGCCAGTCATATATCATTACAGTATAGCACATAAAATTATACACCGTACATAATACTTGATAATAACCACATTACTGCTTTACATATTTACAATATACCATACTTTTTATTGTATCTAAAGACAAAGTAGCTGAATACATAAAAACAAGACCCAACTTGTTTCTTACTACTTACAAACAAAAAAGCTAACTATAAAACAGCCCAAGGCAGGTCCATCAGGATGTATTCCAGAAGAAGGCATTATTACCATAGGCGATGTTAGCGCCATATGTGTTATTGCCCCTGAAGACCTTCCAGTGGGATAAGATGTAGAGGTGGAAGACAGTGATATTGGTTATCTTGACTCAATGTAGTCCTAAGATAAAGAGTGTGTTTATGTCTTAGTTTTCTTTAAGTTCAAAAAGTACAAAAATAAAAATATTTTAAACAGAAATAATCCTATCCAATAAGGATACCAAGAAAAATATTTTTGTACAGCTGTACAATATGTTTGTGTTTTAAACTAAGTGTTATTACAAAAGAATCAAAAAGATTTTAAAAATTCAAAATTTTAAGTGCAGGCACAGTGTACTCTACACCTATAATTTCAGCACTTTGGTAGGCTGAACAGCAGGATTGCCTGAATCTAGGAGTTTGAGATCAGCCTGGGCCACACTGTGAGACCCCTTCTCCACAAAAAAAATGAAAATTTTTTTAAAAATTAGGTTTATAGGCTAGATGTGGTGGTTCATCCTGAATCTTAGAACTTTGGGAGGAGACTGATGTGGGAGGATTGTTTGAGGCCAGGAGTCCAAGACCAAAATAACAAGACCCTATCCCTACAAAAAAAATAGCTGATTATGGTTATGTGTGTCTGTAGTCCCAGCTACTTGGGAGGCTAAGGCAGAGGAATTGCTTGAGCCTAGAAATCTGAGGTTGTAGTGAGCTATGATGATGCTCTGCACTGTAGCCCAGGCAACAGAGTGAAACCCTGTCTCAAAAAAAAAAAAAAAAGCTTATCAAGGAATAAAATTATGTCATCTAAGGTTAATTTGTTATTGATTTAAGAAATGTTTTAATAAATTTACTATAACCTAAGTATACAGTATGTAAAGTCTATACTACTGCGTAGTAATGTTCTAGCCCTTAACACTCACTCATCACTCACTCACTGACTCAGAGCAACTTCCAATCTTGCAAGCTGCATTCATCCATATCCTTTACAGATATACTATTTTTTATCTTTTATATTGTATTTTTACTGTACCTTTTCAATTCTTAGATATATTTCATTGATTAAGTACTATTTTAGAATCTTCTATAGTATTCAGTATAGTAACATGATGTACAGGTTTGTAGCCTAGGAGCAATAAATCATCAAGCCTAGGTCTGTAATAGGCTATACCATCTAGGTTTGTTTAAGTATGTAAATATACTCTGTGATTTCCCACAGTGATGAGATCACCTAATGAGGCAATTCCCAGAAAGTATCCTCATTATTAAGTGACATATAACTGCACTTGAAGATTTCAATACCCCACTTTCAATAAGGGATAGAGCATTCAGACAGAAGATCAATAAGGAAAAAGAGGACTTGAAAAACACTATAGACCAAATGGAACTAATATAGCAGAATATACATTCTTAAACAAATTCTGAGCATTTTCCAGAATATATCATATATTAGGTCACGAAACAAGTCTTAACAAATTTAATAAGATTGAAATCACAATGGAATGAAACTAGTTGGAAGTAAAACTGGAAAATCCACAAATGTGTGGAAATTAACAACCTTTTAGGGTCAAAAAAGAAATCAAAAGGGAAATTAGAAAATAGGAAATTGACATAAATGAAAGTGAAAACACAACATACCAAAACTTACAGGATGCAATAAAATCAGTACTAACAAGGAATTTTATAGTAATAAATGTCTCAATTAAAAATGAAAAAAGATCTCTTAAGACAACTTCACTTTACAATCCAAGGAATAAGAGAAAGAAGGATACACTAGGCCCAAACCAGAAAGAAAGAAATAATGAAGATTAGAGCAAAATTAAATAAAAGAATTGAGTAATAATTAAAAAATGATTTTTTTCAAAAGACCAACAAAATTGACAAACCCTTTGCTAAACTAAGAAAAAAGGAGGGTCAAAATGAGAAATGAAAGAGGAGGCATTACAACTGATGAGACTATTACAATTATATACCAACAAATCAGATAACCTAGAAGAAATGAATAAATTCCTACATACAACGTACCAAGACCTGAATCATCAGAAAATAGATAATCTCAACAAACCTATAATTACTAAAGAGATTGAATCAGTACTCAAAACTTCCCAACACAAAAAAATGCCCACTGGAGAATACTACCAAACACTTAAAGAAGATTCAATACCTATCTTGCTTAAATGCTTCCAGAAACATTGAAGAAAAAGGAACATTTCAAAACTCATCTTATGAGTGTAACAAAAAATGGGGGAAAAGGAATTTTAATTCCTACTTTAAAACAATGATAAAGAATATATTCCAAATGGATTGTAGATGTAATAATATAAACAATGAAGCAAAAAAACCCACAAAAATTATGTACATGACATAGACTCAAGAACAAAAATTGATATGTTAAACCTAATTAAAATAAAGAATTTGTACAAAAAAGACACAGAAGAATCAAAAGCAAGCCATGAGGTAGAAAAATATCAAGAAATGGATTATGCCCAGAAAAAAAAAGACTTTTAACTAATAATAAAAACACAAAGTAAAGGAAGGAATAAAGTTCCACAGAAGCAAAAAGGAAAAGATAAACAGAACAGAATAGAAAAATAAGCAGATTTGATCAGCTATTGCACAAAATAATGTGTAAAAATAGCCAAAAATAACATAGAAAAGCCCTCAACCTCATTTAAATATGAAATGAATTCAAAATGAGAATACAAAACTCACCCAATAAAATGGCTAACATGAAAATAATCTGACAAATGTAAAGATGATGTGGAGAAGCAGAAACTATACACTACTAGGAATATAAATAGGTAAAAACATCTTGGAAAATTGGCTGGCATTATCTACCAAAGGTAAAGATACACACATACTTTATGAACTAATAACCCAACTCCTAGATAATTACTCAGGAGAAATCTGTATACATAGGCATTTAAAGAAATGTATATTTATTACAGAATTATTTGAACTAGACATGAAGAGATACAATGCAAAATCGTCAAGAGTGGAATAAATAATGGATAGTATATTTGTGGAATAGCACTAGAAACAGATAAATGAACTACAACTACGTGTAACAACATGTCTGACTTCATAAACAATGACTGATAAATATGAATACAAAGAACACATAAACAATGTGCTTAATTGTTTAACACATAAGTAATATGCTCAGACTACACATATTGTGCATTTCCAATTAGATAAACTTCCCAAAACAGGCTAAAACAACCAGTTATAAAAGTCATATGTGTGACTACATTTGGAAAGAAAATAAGGGAAAGTTATTTAACAGATGCATATGAAATGCTTCAAAGATGAAAATAACAGTGTTTTTGACTTTCAGACATTGAGCTATATTATTTCCCTCTGTACACATCGTGTACATATTTTAGGTTGACATAGAAAATTGTTCCCTAACGTTGATAATCACAGAAATTAATAAGGTAAAGATGGTGGACACAAAAGTTACTAGAAACTACACTAATAGATATGAATACTTATTGAATAATGAAGCATAAAAAGACAGCAATGTATGTATATTGTCTTGGTGGCCTATAATTCCCAAAGACTTTGGTTAAAAATGAATATGTGAAAAAAGATAAAAATTTAACCAGGTAAATTTAATTCTGAAAAATAAAATTACGAAGAAGCTGATAGAGGGAAAATCTACGAAAATTCAAATTAACAGAAAAGATATCATAAACTAACCTTTGCAAACGATTCCCCAGTTGTCTGCGGCTGATCCTCTCTGTCTCTGGAGTCAGGTAAACTGGGGCTGAAGGCCATGAGATCGGTCTTGGGCGGGCCCTCTCCAGAGCACACCCTCTGCCTCCTCTGCTGGGAGTGTGACCAGCTCCCTACAGCGCTGGAGCACACCATCACTGGCTTCCCCGGCCGGCGCGAGCCCTCAGTGGGCGGCGCGGAGCACCGCAGCGCAGTATACAGCAGCAGCGTGAGCACCAACAGGCTAGACACTGAGCAGATGGCGATGATCAGGTAGACGTTGACATCCACGAGCGAGGCTTCAGGACCCGTTGCGCCCGCCAACGCTCTCGATGAAGCTTTGGGAGACTGGCTGCTTTCCACCAACGATACCAACACAGTGGCGGTGGCAGTCAGTGCAGGCTCACCGTGGTCCTTCACCAGAACAAGCAGACGCTGCAGCGACGCGTCCGCCTCATCCAGGGCACGCGTCGTGCTGATTTCACCAGTGTACAGACCCACGCGGAATAGGCTACGAGCACCACCAGCTGCTGGCTGCAGTTCGTATGAAAGCCACGCGTTATAGCCAGAATCGGCATCCACTGCGCGTATCTTCGCCACCACATGGCCAGGGCCCACAGATCGAGGCACAAGCTCACTCACAGCACCTCCAGCGGCACCCGCCCGAGGTACCAGCAACACTGGCGCATTGTCGTTCTCATCCAGCACGAACACCTGCAGCGTCACGTTGCTCCCCAGAGGCGGCACGCCTGCATCACGCGCGCTCACCTGGAACTGCAGCAGCTCCAGCTCCTCGTGGTCCAGAGGCTGCAGCGCGTACACCTTGCCGCTCTCCGCGTGCACCGACACGTAGCTCGACAGCGCGCGCTCGCCCACCCGCCTCTCCACCAGAGAGTAGGACACCAGCGCGTTCTCCTGCACGTCTACGTCCCGCGCTGACACAGTGAAGATGTGACAGCCCGGCGGGTTGTTCTCCTTTACAAACACCGTGTACTCCGGCTGTGGGAAGCCCGGCGCATTGTCATTCACGTCGGCCACCTCCACAGACACGGTGGCTGTGGCCCACAGAGAAGGCAAGCCCCCGTCCCGCGCGGTCACCACCAGCTCATAAGCTGACACACTCTCACGGTCCAAGGCACTGTCCAGCACCAAAGAATAGTAATTCTTGAAGGTGGACGCCAGTTTGAAGGGGACATGAGATGTCAAGGTGCAGGTGACCTGTCCATTGGCACCTGAGTCGCGGTCAGACACGCTGATCAGTGCAATGACTGTGCCCAGTGGAGCATCCTCTCTAATTGGAAGTGATAAGGACTGGAATTCCAAATCTGGGACATTATCATTGTTGTCTTCTATTTCCACAATAACTCTACAATGGCCAGACAGTGGGAGCTGTCCTTTATCAGTGCCTTCTACAATAATTTCATAGGATTTGCTTTCTTCAAAATCAATATATCCCTTTACCATAATTTGTCCAGTAACTGGATCTATGTTGAACTTGGATTTCACACTTGGTGTATTATCACTTGAGAATGAATAAATAATGTCTCCATTCAATCCTTCGTCTAAATCTGAGGCATTAAGTTTAATTACCAATGTTCCATTAGAGACATTTTCTGGTAACTTCACTTTATACACTTTCCTATCAAAAACTGGGGCATTATCATTGGCATCCAGTACTGTGATGAGTAACTGAACAGTGCCAGTTAGTTCTGGTTTGCCCCCATCAGTGGCCGAGAGCACTAAAAAAATCTCCGGAGTTTCTTCTCTGTCTAAAGATTTTCTTAATATAAGCCCAAGACCTTTTACCCGCTCATCATCAGATGGTTTTTCCAGAGAAAAATATTCACTGGGGCTCAGTCTGTAAGTGAGCAGAGCATTATCCCCAGTATCTGCATCCGAGGCGCCCTCTAGTGGAAACCGAGAGTCAAGCGGCCTGGATTCTGCGATGAACAGATTCTTTTGCGTTGCTGAGAAGAGTGGCGGGTTGTCGTTAATGTCTTTCACCTCCACCTCGACGTGGAAAACCTGCAGCGGCCTGTCCACAATCACCTCCAGATGGATGCTGCACTCCGCACTCCGCCCGCACAGCTCCTCCCGGTCTATCCGAGAATTCACAAACAAAATGCCATTCTGCAGATTCACTTCCAGAAGATCTATGCCCCTTTTGGACGCCACCCGGAACAGACGCGGCACCAATTCCGCCAGCTCCAGTCCCAGGTCCTGCGCGATGCGGCCCACGTAGGTGCCGTGTTTGGCTTCCTCTGGGACTGAATAGTGAAGCTGACCCCTCCCTGCCTCCCACACTGCGAGGAGAAGCCAGAGCAGCAGGCGCCGGGATTCCTGGCCCCTTCCCCAGTAAAATTCCATCTCAAGCGCACAATGCTCTGTTTTAATTCGATATCGTGTCGCAAAAACATGAGAAATCCGTCAGTCAAGTGCCGCTGCATCCTCCATCTTTCAGACTGCAGATAGTCTACACAGCTCTTTCCAGAAGGATTTTTTTTTCACCTGCTTTCGCTGTCAGATCTATTTTATGGTAAAGAGCGACATCATGCGGCTTCAAACCGTAAGTATGGATTCTGGAAATCCACATTAGATTATAAACTGCTGGGTCTCATGTATTCTTTCAGTCGTTATGGAGAATAGGATACATCTTATAAAGCTAAGGTATATGTTTGATTGTTTGAACCATTTTTGATTCAATGGTTTCAACCATTGATTGATTATGATCCTTAGTTGCACTACAGGGGCAGATTTTGTTTCAGCGGAAATTCTTTTTTTATACAGGTTTTAAGTATTACAGAGACCCAACTGGAGTTAATATACACTTTCTAAGCATACAATTGTAAAGTATTGACTGGAAAATACTGATAGATTCCTTGTGTTTCCAAGAACGCCAGAGGTTTTTATTAATGATGACACCCTCTTTGCCCTTGGGGTTGGGGGGGGGGTGGACCACTGATCCCAAGAACAAATCATTGAAAGGGAAATTTACAGATGTTTTATAAAGAAATAAAGACCATTAGCATTTAATTGAATGTATTCCTTGATCATGTAAGGGCTGAATGTACAAGGAAGCAGGAAGTTGTAGTAAACGCCATGTGTGGAAAAGTATCCTAAATAATTTTATTTACTGAAACTCATTCACTCTTAAGAGCAAAGTTGCTATTCTCATTTTCACTCTTACGGTTTATAAATGTCTGCTGGTTCTCCAGAATGCAATAAGCCTAAGTCTATTTTCTCTTGTAGTGCTCATATATTTTAGTCGAACTAGATAATTTCCTGCTTCCAAGAACTTTTTTACCAAACAAACATACTCATTTTGTCCCATGCCTAAGTAATCTACATCATTTCCAAACTCTTCATAAACTAGTTTCTCCCATTTTATAACCATGTGATACACCCAAGCCCAAGAAGAATTCCATAATCAAATGTATGAAAAAGGCATTTTTATCTTCTTTTACAAACTGTAGCATCCATATTGATTTATTTCTTGTAAGCATTTGAGTATGTATGTCCTTTTCTTGAAATATAAATGTAAAAAGGAATAGTTGTATCTTAATAGTTTACTGGCTCAGAGGTACTCACCTAGTATTTGCCCAGTATTTAACCAATAGAAATAGTTTGGTTTTCTTCAATTGCCTAATAAAATAAAATGTATTTAAGGTGGTCACATAGTCAAGAGAATATAATGTTTCAGCAGCCCCTATAATTTTCTAGAGATACAAAAAGACTTCCTTTAGACATTGCCCTAATTAAAATATACTTCAAGTTCTACAGTGAAAACCTGGGTTTTAGCTTAATTTTTGTTCCAATTCTTGTCAGTCCTTGAATCACCCTGAATTTTAATAGGCATTGAAGACTTCCCAGTAATATGGAACAATATATTTTCCAACATAAAGAAACTTAATAAAGAAATATATAATGGCAGCCATTTTCAACTTTCTTCATCTCTTATGTTAATAAACTTCTTTCTACCATGTTTTCATGGACAAAAAACATCATTCTAGTCAAAATAGCTTTAGGCTTCCTATTCATATAAAGCCACATTCACAAAAAATAAAAATCTTGAATCAAAACACTTTCACTGTTTAGGGACCAACTAGATTTTTCAAAAATGATCATAGTTCTCAAGCACATTGGAAGAAAGTGAAAATGATTTCATTCCCATTTGTTTGTGTTATAAATATTTAAAAACATAGATAAGTGATGTAGCAGAATATAAATGGATATTTATTTGACACCTATTAAGGATTCACTTCGTACAGCATTAATATATCTCCAAGGAGAAAAACTCCAAAGTCATGAAGATGCCTTTGGCAAGAGTCTTCTTAGACAAAAAATTTTGAAGGATTAGATTTGAAGATTGAAGTTCATATCTTGGAAGACAAGAACTTTGGATAACAGGGCAGCACCTGTGGCTCAGTGAATAGGGCATTGGCCCCATATATCGGAGGTGATGGGTTCAAACCCAGCCCTGATCAAAAACTGCAATAAATAAATAAATAAATTTAAAAAAAAAAAACTTTGGATGAATCTTACTATTTACAAGATGATGATTACAAAACTAATTTAAAAATTGAACTGAGGTTGGACATGCCATGGCTAATACTTGATATGAAAAGAGGTACCAAAAGTCATGCCAAAAGAAAATGGAAGTGGAAAATGAGAAGAGGAAAGAAAAGTATCTCTCTATTTCACAAGTTATACTCCTGAAAATGTCAGCCAGGTACTATTTCTAACAGAAATAAGGAAATTGGAATGGAAGTCCAACTATGTGGTAGGGGAGATGACCTAATTCATGTGGGAAATGACTGCAATGTAGGCTCACTTCAATTTTATTTGGTGCCAGTTATTTGGACTTTTCCACTTAGCACATGGCACACATTAACAAACAGGGTGATTTTCAAGAAAGTCATCAGTAATAACATTGATTTATCAACCTATTTGACATTAGCAAAAGAGGGTAATGAAAGAAAAAGTTTTGCTAGTGAGGATAGCTATAAAATTAGATATAGAGTATTATTTTAAACAGATCATTCAGATCAAAAATTCTTAACTAGATTTAAAATATTATTTTTTAAATAATGTTTAAATATACCATAAGAGTATTAAGTTTTTCCTTCAAGTGGATATTTTACTTATTAGTAATAAAAATAGTGAGAACATGAATATAAACAAAGGTACAATTCTAAATACAACTGTTATTCTAGTTTTTTCTCCCCAGTTGCAAAATCTACCAAAAAAAAAAAGTTATTGCCAAATGAGAACACAATGCCTAAAATGAATCATTTTCAAGGAAAGAAGAACTAAGACTCAAAGCAAATGAATAAAAGAATAAAATACAAGTGTAATAAATGAGTATTTAAAACTTAATAATAAAAAAGAGTTGTGAGCATTTAGGGTGAACTCATAAAGTGAGCCAATAACATTTGTGCTAATATCTAAAATGTAAATACAAATGAAAAGTGGCCAAAGATATTGCAAAGGTATTGTGTAGGATTAGTCCACCACAGGTTGGAGCCAGATTCTCCAAATAATATAATTTATCTGAGAAAAAATATTTCATTTTGTACTGTGTCAGGTATTTAGTGATAAAACAATCCTGCTACCGTGCCTATTAACAGCAATAACAACCAAACAAGTTTAAATCTCACTATTTACTGCTGATTCGGTTCAAAAATTAGTAACAAATATCCTAACATTTTCACCACAAAACTAGTAACTGAAAACCTCTAATTATAAAACAAATAAAGCAGCATATGTAACTATTAATGTGTTTGAAAAGAAATGGATACATTAAGGAATAAAAAACAAACATTTTGGAAAGCATAAAGAAAAATTACTTACTTTGGTGGAAAGATCAATGTCGACATCATGTTGTTCCTCTCTATCCCGAATAACTGGACACGGTGAAAGGCTAGGGCTAAAAGCCATGAGGTCGGACTTGGGCAGACCCTCCCCAGAGCACACCCTCTGCCGCCTCTGCTGTGAGTATGACCAGCTCCCCACCGCGCTGGAGCAAACCAGCCTGGGCTTGCCTGGCCCGCACACGCCCTCGGTGGGCGGCACTGAGCACCGCAGTGCGGTGTACAGCAGCCCTGTGAGCACCAACAGGCTGGACACTGCACAGATGGCAATGATCAAGTACACGTTGACATCCACCAGCGCTACCTCCGGGCCTACAGCGCCCGGCGACACCCGTGAAGTGGCCTTCAGAGCCTGGCCGCTCTCCACCAGGGACACCAATACGGTAGCTGTGGAGGTCAGCGTGGGCTCACCATGGTCCTTCACCAGAACAAGCAGGCGCTGAAGCGACGCGTCCGTCTCATCCAGGGCACGAGTCGTGCTGATCTCACCGGTGTAAAGCCCCACGCGGAATGGGCTACTTAGGCTGCCCGATGCTGGGTGCAGTTCATATGACAACCATGCATTGTAGCCAGAGTCAGCGTCCACCGCGCGCACCTTTGCCACGACGTGGCCAGGGCCCACAGACCGCATCTCCAGCTCACTCATCAGGCCTCCAGCACTGCCTGCCCTAGGCTCCAGCAGGGCTGGCGCATTATCATTCTCATCCAGCACAAACACCTGCAGCGTCACGTTGCTGCCCAGAGGTGGCACGCCTGCATCGCGCGCGCTCACCTGGAACTGCAGCAGCTCCAGCTCCTCGTGGTCCAGTGGCTGCAGCGCGTACACCTTGCCACTCTCCGCGTGCACAGACACGTAGCTCGACAGCGCGCGCTCACCCACCCGCCTCTCCACCAGCGAATAGGACACCAGCGCGTTCTCCTGCGCGTCCGCGTCCTGTGCTGACACTGTAAAGATGTGACAGCCTGGCGGGTTGTTCTCCTTCACGAACACAGTGTACTCTGGCTTGGTAAACACCGGCGCGTTGTCGTTCACGTCTGCCACCTCTACAGACACAGAGGCCGTGGCCCACAGAGAAGGCGAGCCCCCGTCCCGTGCAGTCACCACCAACTCATAAGCCGACACACTCTCACGATCCAGGGTGCCGTCCAGCACCAGCGAATAGTAATTCTTGAAGGTGGACACCAGTTTGAAGGGGACATGAGTTGTCAGGGTGCAGGTGACCTGTCCGTTGGCACCTGAGTCACTGTCGGACACGCTGATCAGGGCGATAACTGTGCCAAATGGAGAGTCTTCTAATACCGGTAAAGATAGTGATTTGATAACCAATTCTGGTACATTATCGTTGACGTCCAGAACTTCCACTAGAACCGTGCAGTGATCTGCCATTGGAGGATTTCCTTTATCGGTCGCTTCTACCTGGATTTCATATGACTTAGTTTCTTCAAAATCTATGTTACCTTTTACTCTGATGTATCCATTGATGGGATCTAAGTGAAATTTCGACAAAATATATGCTGACATGTCCATATTGAAAGAGTATACAATGTCCTTATTTATGCCTTCATCCAAATCAGAGGCGTTAACGATTACCGCTAG